AGCATTACACCAGTCGTCTTTACTTCCCCAGGACATCCATCCTGGTACCCATTTTAGGCTGTGTTGACCTGCGACGCCCCACACCATGATACAAATCCACGCAGCCAAAATGTTGGAATTACGAGTTGGACTCGCAACACCTAAGTCACGGACGCCCCCAACACAATGTCCCTACGACTAATTTAAGAACGAACGCGAAAGAAGAAGGAAGTAATACCTGCGGATTTTTGTGGCTAAGGAATGTTGGAAAATCCGGTTTGTTTTATAAGGAAATGTTGCCTCTCATCGGGAAAATCCAAACTGAACTTTGATTAATGCCACTTTTAAACTGCATTTTTGAACACAAATGTAAACCAACAGATGTGAGATGTTGTGACCAAAGTACCAGGCAAAGCGTGTGTATATTTGAGTAACTTTGTTTACATAAATAATCTGTGTTTGTTGGGGAATAAATTATACGGAAGGAACTCGGATTGAGAAGCTTGTCTCGCTGTTATGTCTTGCAGGGTATCTTCAAAGTTTTAATGCTGAAAATAGTTCACGTTCGTGTTATTTGGTTCGCTCTTTAGTTGGTTCGTTGATTGTTTAATTCGTTTATTGTTTAGAAGTTTTACTGGTTAGTTAATTAGTTTGTTAGTTGTTTGGATAATTAGTTACTTGACTGGTTGGCGAGAAAGTAGATTGGTTAGTTGCTTAGTTAGTTAGTAACACATTATCTTGTTTGAGAATTTAGATTCGGGCAGTTCTTCTTCTTATGCGTTCGACATCAGTCATGCTAAACATTGAGTCCCGTCTGGGTCACAAATAGGATTGTGTGTTTAAGGTCGCCATCGGTCCCCCATAGCTTCTCTTTCAATGTGGATCCCCTGGGCCAGATCCACAGTCTTTGCTGGGAGAGGTAAGGGCAGTGCTGCAGTATGTGCTCAGGGGTCTGTCTTTCTGCTCCACAATCACAGGCAGCAGATTCTTCTATACCTATCCTGCACAGGTGTGCTCGAAGACCGCAGTGTCCAGTTCGAAGTCTAAAAATTGTTGTTAGTTAGTTGTTAGTTTGTTTATGTTGTCACTTTCTGGTCTGTAATCTCTATTCTGCTTTCTCCACTCCCGCCTGAAAGACTGCTTGAGCGCTGTTTTGGTTTTCTTGTAGCTGTATGGTTGATGAGGTTGTGGAAGATTACTTCCAGCTTTTGCCAACTCATCCTTTCCTTGAATACCACAGTGGGCTGGTATCCACTGCAAGACCAGTTCTGCTTCCTTGGAGAGTAAGCCAATGTTGGTCTTTAGATCTGCAATTAGTTGTCTTGTTTTTTGTGTGATAGTGCTTGGAGAACAGACATTGAGTCACTAAGTATAACAATTGTGTGCCCTCTGTGTTCTTGATTGATGAGATGTTGGACTGCAGAAAGGAGGGCAGTTGCCTCAGCTCTGAAGTTAGTGCAGATGTCACCTGCTGTTAGAGAGAGAGGGGGTTTCTGCTCTACTGCTAGGGGGTTTAATGTATATTCCCCAACCCCCTTTCCTTTCTGACTGCTTCTGTAGCAGAGCCGTCGGTGAAAACCTGAGTCCAAGTGGTGTTTAGATACTTCTCATCAAGCATAGCAAGAGCCAGTGTTCTCTGTTGTGTCTCTGTCTACCCATCTTTTGAAGTGATCCCTGGTACCTTTAGGACTACATTTGCTTTCTCTGGCTTGCTTGTCCATGGTTTTGGCCTAAGTTTTTCGCACAGTGCTACATCTCTTTCAAGCAGATCTCGGTGCTGTCTGTACAGTTCTCTAGCAAGGTGGTTGGGGCTCTGACGCTTCAGTCTGTTTTTGTTCTCTCTTGAAATTTAAAATGCAGTGGGTGACTTTCAAGTCTTTTTAATTTCTCATACTCTAAAAGAGTTTTGTATTGTCTTCTGAGTTCGAGTGGTTCAGTATCTGCTATCCTCTCTATCTCTCTGATGGGGGTGGTTTTCATGGCTCCGAGAACAATCCTCAATCCCATATTCTGAACCGTGTCCAGTTTTCCCATTCTTGTCTTGGCTGCTGCAGCCCATGCAGTCGAGGCATATTCCATGACTGGCCTGACTGCTCCAGTATATACGTGTTTTAGGATACTTGAACAGGATTGTTTCATAGTATCAGGTTATATGAACAGGGTTGTTTCGTTATATCAGGTTTTGTAGTATCAGGTTACATGAACAGGATTGTTTCGTTGTATCAGGTTTTGTAGTATCAGGTTACATGAATAGGATTGTTTCGTAGTATCAGGTTATATGAACAGGGTTGTTTCGTTGTATCAGGTTTTGTAGTATCAGGTTACATGAACAGGGTTGTTTCGTTGTATCAGGTTTTGTAGTATCAGGTTACATGAACAGGATTGTTTCGTTGTATCAGGTTTTGTAGTATCAGGTTACATGAACAGGATTGTTTCGTTGTATCAGGTTTTGTAGTATCAGGTTACATGAACAGGGTTGTTTCGTTGTATCAGGTTTTGTAGTATCAGGTTACATGAACAGGGTTGTTTCGTTGTATCAGGTTTTGTAGTATCAGGTTATATGAACAGGATTGTTGTGGCGTGCGGAGCTTCATTGATTGTGACGAGTGTAAAGTGACTAGGGGTGTCGCAATGTAACAAATGGCATCAACACTTAACATGCCACTGGCCAAGAGTAACACAACATAATGAATGCTGAAGCTTCCAACGTAGCGGAACAAGAAGTCTTTAAAAGTTCCATTTGTGTATTGACAAATGCAATGATCAACACAAAGAATACATATGTAAGTTATAATCAACTCGTTCAACCAAAGCTCGCTCGTACATCCATGTATTGATATGTCCTCACGATAGGTCGCAGTCCGACCTTGAGATCCAGACGATTATCTTTGTCCTCGGACAAGTCCGAATTAAGCAATGAAAGTATACCGGCTTACTGCCGAGAATGTAATGTTCACCAGCTTCCTGCTGAGGTCTATCTTGGAATCCCGGGGTAAAACGTCCTCAAGGATCCAACTTCATATAACGTTTGCTTCCGTGGGATCCCGGGGTAAAACGTCCTCAAGGATCCACACGTCCGTCTCCTTCGGACTATAAACATCAACTGCCTTTGACAACAATCCTTCACAACGTTACGTATTGTTTTGACGTCTTATTTGCTCACTCCGTACTGGTGCGTTCTGGTGCACATTCGCACGCGACAACTGTTTCGTTGTATCAGGTTTTGTAGTATCAGGTTACATGAACAGGGTTGTTTCGTTGTATCAGGTTTTGTAGTATCAGGTTACATGAACAGGATTGTTTCGTTAACGTTTTAACTCATATCTTTAATTACGTTTGAACTATTCAGGCAGTAACTGCAGCCTTCCGCTGGCTTGAGAATCAGCTGCACACACATGTCGTGTTTGTAACTGACTCACAGAGTATTTTGAGAAAGGTGGAGACCTGTATGCTTCATGAAGAGTGGCAAGCATCGCTTTAGAGGTTCCGGTTAGTTAGCGTCCGTTGGATATTTTCCCCAGGTTATGTCGGTGTTTTAGGAAAGATAGACAGGCAGATAGACTGTCTCGTTCTACACAATCTGGTGGTAAACTGCAGCATGACAAGCTAGATGTTGTAAGGGCCTTTGGGAGCAAGTGATCAGTCCAGAAGAATAGATGGATGGATCACCATGGTCGGAAGAGAATGGCACAGCGAAGACTGACCACCGAATCTGGTCGACTATCAGCACTTAAGGGAAAGTTAGACGAATATACAATCAACAAATTTACAATCTGCTATTGGTGTCATTTGAAATGGAATTCTGCGCTTACTGCTGAAGGTGGGGACAGGGCGTTTATGGGAATGACCCGAGTGCTGTGATGTCAATTCTTATTTAAACATTCAATAGTATTTAGTTAGTTAGTTTGTTTGTTTGTTCCTTGGTTCGTTGAATGCGAAGATGCTTCGTTAATTTTTGTTGGTTGGTAATGTAGTTCGTTGGTTCGTTAGCAGGCAGGTAGGTTGATTGGTTGGTTGGTTGATTAGTTGTTCAGCTAGTTATTGAGTAACAAATACAAATAGGTCAGATATGTAGCAGGGATGTGCACGAAAAACTCAAGTCCAGAGATAGACCAACAACAACCAGATCTTTTCCACCGGAGTCTACAACCGGTAAATACGAAGAAGATAAGTAAAATCAGGTTCCTTAAACAGGATTGTTTTGTAGTATCAGGTTCCTTAAACATGATTGGTTTGTAGTATCAGGTTACTTGAACATGATTTTTTTCGTAGTATCAGGTTCCTTAAACAGGATTGTTTCACAGTATCAGGTTATAAAACAGGATTGTTTCGTAGTATCAGGTTCCTTAAACAAGATTGTTTCGTAGTATCAGGTTCCTTAAACAGGATTGTTTCATAGTATCAGGTTTCTTGAACAGGATTGTTTCGTAGTATCAGGTAACTTGAACAGGATTGTCTCATAATATCAGGTAACTTGAACAGGATTGTTTCATAGTATGAGGTTACTTGAACAGGATTGTTTCGTAGTATCAGGTTACTTGAACAGGATTGTTTCATAGTGTCAGGTTACTTGATTGTTTCGTAGTATCAGATTACTTGAACAGGATTGTTTCGTAGTACCAGGTTACTTGAACAGATTTGTTTCGCAGTATCAGGTTACTTGTACTTGAACAGGATTGTTTTTTAGTATCAGGTTATATGAACAGAATTGTTTCGTTGTATCAGGTTTTTTTAACATGTCTGTTTCGTAGTATCAGGTTATTTGAACATGTTTGTTTCGCAGTATCAGGTTACTTGTAGAGGATTGTTTAGTAGTATCAGGTTATATGAATAGGATTGTATTGTAGTATCAGGTTACTTGAACAGGATTGTTTCGCAGTATCAGGTTACTAAAACAGGATTGTTTCTTTAACGTTTTAATTCATATCTGTAATTACATTTTTTAACTCGACAGCTGTGTGAAGTTTTTTTTTTCTTTTTTTCAGGTGCATTTCTAAGCTCTCTGCCAGAAAATCTATAAAATGGATCAGGGAGAGACTCGCCGACACAATGAAGAAATTCTACGTCGTGCACGCAGTGGCGATTTGTTGGAGTTTCCTAGAGAACTGGGCTACTCGCATTGGGGCGTGTATGTTGGTGAGTATGTGTCGTCGTGTGCGTCTTAAACAGTTAGACTTCTTTTTCTTCTTCTTAGCGGAAAGTCCTGGTTGTTCGTCCATTTCTAGACTTTAGTCTTGTTCCAGAACGTGAGTTTTGATGCTTATTCGCATGCAGACTGTTGGTTCATTACCTCTCAGATAGATGCACTCTTACTTCGAAGAAAACACTGCTGCTACACGCCTCCTACGACACGTTTATTAGGGAGCAGTAGGTCAACTCTATTTTACCCTAAATGGGGCAGCTAACCCATACGGAAAGTATTTATTTTTTTCATTTCTATTTATGTAAAACAAAACACATAAAAATCGATTATAAATGAGGTCTCCAATATTTGTGCCAATTATGTTGGCTAAGAAATGGTAATCGCACCAAAACTAGTGGCTAGGAGCAGCACTTTAGTACATAGTGAGGGCTGTTGGGGAGGGGGGTTGGCATGTACTAAACATAACCCCAAACACATACATAGACATACATGTACAATTGCATACACACATACATACATACATTCATACATACATACATACATATATATATATACAGGTGTAGAACAGAGTATCAGCCAGATCTCCTGCTCACTCCCAGCTGCAAATCTCTCTCTCTCTCCTCTCTCTCTCTCTCTCTCTCTCTCTCTCTCTCTCTCTCTCTCTCTCTCTCTCTCTCTCTCTTAGCGCCGTAATGATCTTTTCCTACTACCTCATTGTTCACTTGCTCCTAAAGAACCTTGACCATATCTAGCTTGTCATCCATCATTTCATCACCCAGGAGTGCAGCACCAGCCAATCTATCCGTCTGTTCGTTTCCCACCACGCCTGCATTCCGGGAGAAAATATCAAAGGGACGCTATCTACTAAGGACCTCTGGAGTGTTTCTTTCCCAAAGCCTGCAAATTGCTCTCTTCTGTAATTACTTCCCTTTGGTTAAAACATGCACAAGGAAGATTTTGTTTCTTGTTCAAAATTAGCTCCAAGACCGAACCAACCAAAATTGTTAACCGACAATATTCTGGGAAGTAAAGACGGTCAGGATAATGCTGTATACTTTCTGGGTTGGCTTAACAGAATGATTGGTATATTTGTCAAATAAATTGATTCGTCGATTGGTCAAATAAAATAATTGGTCGATTGGTCTAATAAAATATCAGTCTATCATTTTATCACCGAATGGGAAACACCAAATAAGAAAAGGAAAGAAACGCACAGCTAACAACAGGGTGGAGGACGAGCGGTTTGACTCGGAAGGAAGCATTAAGTCCAGAGACGGCGTAAATAACAAATTTAGTCACGAAAGTGACGCAAATAACCCAGACCACAAATATAGGCGGAGACTGTTAGCGACCTCGGCTAGCTAAAAGCAGTCTGAAAGTGGTCGACCTTTTAATTTTCTTTCCCCAAAAAAGAATCGGAATCGGAAATCCCCGAAGCACCACTATAGTTGAAAGGGTCCTTTAACCTTTTTTTTTTCAGTTATCCATATCCATATATCCGCAGGTACTGGATACGTAATCCACCTGGCTGGAGAGCCTGGGGATGGCCTGTCGACGGCGGATGTGACTGTGAGAAAAGACAGCTTCTGGACCGTGGCGGGAAACAGCAGAGCAAGAATTAACAATATCTTTGACGGCGTTGAAAGGTTGGGTGAATTTGTTTAGACTAATTTTTTTTTTTTTTTTACACGCTGAGCACATGCTGCAGGCTTGTCCACTGTACCATAATTTTTGAAGCCGAAAACGGGACATCCCATTAATATTTCCAGCTGAAAACAGGACATCCACTTATTTTTTTAAAGAGCTGGGACATGTCACTAATATTTTCCAGCAGAAAACGGACATTCCACTAACACTTTCCATCTGAAATCAGGATATCCCATAAATATTTTTGATCTAAAAATCCCCACTTCACTAATACATCTTAAGTTCAATAAAAGTTTCTACCACATTCCCCAGGCAGCCCGGAGTGGTCGACAAAAATTTCTACAACATTCCCCAGGCAGCCCGGAGTGGTCGATAAAGGTTTCTACCACATTCCCAAGACTGTCCTGATTGGTCGGTAAAAGTTCCTACCACATTCTCAAGACAGCCCCGATTGGCCGATACAAGCTCCTACCATATTCCCAAGACCCCCCCCCCACCTCCCTAATTGGTCGATAAAAGTTCCTACCATATTCCTAAGACAGCCCCAATTGGTCGATAAAAGTTCCTACCATATTCCTAAGACAGCCCCAATTTGTCGCTACAATTTTCTACCATATTCCCAAGACAGCCCAAATTGGTCGATAAAAGTTCCTACCATATTCCCAAGACAGCCCCAATTGGTCGATAAAAGTTCCTACCATATTCCCAAGACAACCCCAATTGGTCGATAAAAGTTCCTACCATATTCCCAAGACAGCCCCAATTGGTCGATAAAAGTTCCTACCATATTCCTAAGACAACCCCAATTGGTCGATAAAAGTTCCTACCATATTCCTAAGACAGCCCCAATTGGTCGATAAAAGTTCCTACCATATTCCCAAGACAGCCCCAATTGGTCGATAAAAGTTCCTACCATATTCCTAAGACAACCCCAATTGGTCGATAAAAGTTCCTACCATATTCCTAAGACAGCCCCAATTGGTCGATAAAAGTTCCTACCATATTCCTAAGACAACCCCAATTGGTCGATAAAAGTTCCTACCATATTCCTAAGACAACCCCAATTGGTCGATAAAAGTTCCTACCATATTCCTAAGACAACCCCAAATTGGTCGATAAAAGTTCCTACCATATTCCTAAGACAGCCCCAATTGGTCGATAAAAGTTCCTACCATATTCCTAAGACAACCCCAATTGGTCGATAAAAGTTCCTACCATATTCCTAAGACAACCCCAATTGGTCGATAAAGGTTCCTACCATATTCCTAAGACAGCCCCAATTGGTCGATAAAAGTTCCTACCATATTCCTAAGACAACCCCAATTGGTCGATAAAAGTTCCTACCATATTCCTAAGACAACCCCAATTGGTCGATAAAAGTTCCTACCATATTCCTAAGACAACCCCAATTGGTCGATAAAAGTTCCTACCATATTCCTAAGACAACCCCAATTGGTCGATAAAAGTTCCTACCATATTCCTAAGACAGCCCCAATTGGTCGACAAAAGCTCTTACCTCATTTCCAAGACAGCCCCAATTGGGATTTGTTACGTGCGCAACAGTGCACAGGGGCGTCCGATCACACTACCCAGAGACGATGGGGAATTACTAGAAGTTTAGGTCCACGTGAAAAAAAATCCCAACCCTTACCCGGGAATGAACCCGGAACCTCTAGCACTTGAGGCAGACACCATGCCCCGAGACCATGCGCCCCCCCCCCCCCCCTCATAATCTTATAAACTGCCTTATAAACTTATTTCTTTATTAAACTTTTTCACAAACGTGTAAATTTTCTATCTTGTAAACTTATAAACTGTCTTTTAAACCTAACACTTTGTGTCTTATAAACTTTTAAACGTTGTGTCTTAACACCTTATAAAATGTCTTATGAACTTATCAACATTTTGTCTTATCTAAACTTTACATCTTAAAAAAGTTATAAATGCTCTTTTTAATTTACCAGCGTTGTGTCTCATAAAATATCTAATAAGTGTATATCTTAGATAAGCAGTGTTAGCATCTTATGTCTAGTGCAGTGATTCCCAAAACTGTGCGCTGCAGTGCCAATGGCGAGCCGGGACCTCTTCACAGGGGCGCCAGGAAATATTCGAAGATTCAGGAGTAACATTAGAATAGTCATACTTTTACTTAGGTTAGGGCGCTGTGGAAAAATTGTCATTAAAAAAAAAATAGGGGGGGGGGGCGCGACTAAGTGAAGTTTGGGATACACTGGTCTAGTGGTTGACTCTGTCACCAAGATCCGTATCTGATTTTGTTTCCTCAAAATTTAGACTCCAACCTGCCAAAGAAATTGTTAAGAGAGCCGAGAGTAAGGTCGGTCACAGGGGATATGACCTAGTCTCAACGAACTGCGAACATTTCGCTACCTGGTGCAGGTACGACGTAGCCAGAAGCAGTCAGGTAAGTGCAGCTTTTATCTGTCAGTCAGTCAGCCAGTCTGTCAGTCAGCTAGTCTATCAGTCAAGCCAGTCTTCAGTCAGCGAGTTTGTTCGTCAGCTAGTCTTCAGACAGCTAGTCTGTCAGTCAGCCAGTCTGTCAGTCAGCCAGCCTGTCAGTCAGCCAGTCTCAGTCAGCCAGTCTGTCAGCCAGTCTGTCAGTCAGTCAGCTAGTCTGTCAGACAGCTAGTCTGTCAGTCAGCCGGTCTGTCAGTCAGCTAGTCTGTCAGTCAGGTAGTCTGTCAGTCAGCCAGTATGTCAGTCAGCTAGCCTGTCAGTCAGCCAATTTGTCGGTTTCTTTCTCCCACTTTGCACTTTAATGTGCACTTTTTCTTATCGTACTTATCGTACTTTACTTTCTGCCAATATATATTGTAACCTATACTTTCTCTAACTTTACATTTTACTTCTTTTTCACTCCATTACCTTTTCACATTTTGCTCTTTACTTTCTCCCACTCTACTTATTAACCCATACATTCACCAACCTCATATTTTAACCTCAGCTGTATCCCATCTTACATTTTAACCAGTGTAGTTTACCCACATTAAATTTTAACTTCCTCCAATCTTACAATGTAGCCTTACCTTTGTTCTATCTTGAACTGTACCACATACTTTCTCCAGTCTTACATTTTAACCCACACTTTCTCCCACATTAAATTGTGCCCTATACTTTCTCTGGTCTTACATTTTAACCCACACTTTCTCCCACACTAAACTGTGCTCTATAGTTTTTCCAGTCTTACATTTTAACCCACATATTCTTCCACATTCAATCGTGCTCTATACTTTGTCCAGTCTTACATTTTAACCCACACTTTCTCCCACATTAAATTGTGCTCTATACTTTCTCTGGTCTTACATTTTAACCCACACTTTCTCCCACACTAAACTGTGCTCTATACCTTCTCTAGTCTTACATTTTACTCCACACTTTCTCCCACATTTAATTGTGCTCTATACCTTCTCCAGTCTTACATTTTAACCCACACTTTTTCCCACATTCATTTGTGCTCTATACCTTCTCCAGTCTTACATTTTAACCCACACTTTCTCCCACATTAAATTGTGCTCTATACCTTTTCCAGTCTTACATTTTAACCCACACTTTCTCCCACATTCGCTTGTGCTCTATACTTTCTCCAGTCTTACATTTTAACCAACATTTTTCCCACAATTAACTGTGCTCTATACTTTCTCCAGTCTTACATTTTAACCCACACTTTTTCCCACATTCAATTGTGCTCTATACCTTCTCCAGTCTTACATTTTAACCCACACTTTCTCCCACATTAAATTGTGCTCTATACCTTCTCCAGTCTTACATTTTAACCCACACGTTCTTCCACATTAAACTGTGCCCTATACTTTCTCCCAGGTCGAGGCAGTTCAAACTGCCGTCAGTTCCGCACTAGACAACGTGGAAGAAGTTTTACGCAACGTCGCTGAAAACCATCCAGACTGTGAGGTAAATAAAATTAAAGACCCTTTTCCCCGTCTTTAGGCGAATTGGGCATATGTGCAGTAACTTTATTTTACAGACCGGTAAAACTTCGCTTCCCAGATTCCGGCCATATACACACTAGCTCACTTCTGCTTGGTGGGCCTTGAGCCACGTGCCCTTGTCACAAAGTTACGAGGGTGTTCCGTAATGCCGCTGATATCGCGTGTTGTACATATCAGCGCACCAACGCTTTTAACACTTAAAAAAAAACATGGAAAAACTTGGTCTAACATAACCTCACAGAGAGTGCTACAACCTATGTCACAGGCATTCTCTTTCTCTGGAAAAAAAAAAAAACACACACACACACACATAAATGCAAGACTACCAAAAAAGCAAAGCAAACAACCGAGCGGCACACCTGTAGCCAGCAATAAAGTCGACCAGCCAAACAAACTTGTGAATGAAACGTGACCTTCTCTGTTTGGGGAGACTAACTTAAACCTAACCTACAGACCGATCGGAACTAGGTGGGTGAAGTCGCCGGCCTTTACTTCCAGGACTTTACTTAGTATCCAATGAAGGCGGGGGCGACCTTGGAGCCAATCTGTTGCTGTCCCAAAATGGGCGGCAATTTTGTCGTTACTGAAATCCCTCGGCTGTTGTCGGGGCTTTCATATAACGCTGCGATTGAAAGGGATTTCTTTGACTTGTGCGCTGGTAATTCTCATTCTTCAGAGGTAGGTAAAGAAGGTATGTCATTGTCAGGGCACGAAAACATGGATGCTAAGGAAAATTGAGCTTATGCTCCCCCCCCCCCTCCTTCCCTCTACCCATTTATTCCTCGCCCCAAATTTGTAGATGCTGGAGAAATGCTCAGAAAATTGGTAAAACTAACGTTAGTCTTTCCACAGACCGCCCATATACACACTAGCCCACTTATGATTGGTAGTTCCTGAGCCCCGTGACCCTCCCACATGGTTACAGGGGTTTTCCGCAATACCATTGGTATCGCGTGCCGTACATTTCAGAACGCCAGCGCTTTTAATGCTCTATAAACACGAATAAACACGAACCAACTGGTCCTAACACAATCCCTCCTATAGAGTGCTGCAATTTATGTCACAGGCGTTCTCTTTCTCGGAATGAAAACGTAAATGCAAGACACCACAGAAAGCAAACAACAAAGCAGAACACACCCGTAACCTTCAGGAAGGTCGACCAGCCCAGCAAACTTGTGAATGAAAAGTGACCAACTTTGTCTGGAGATATTATCGTTAACCTAACCGAAAATTGATTGGAGGTGAGGTACATTCGTTTTACTGGCTACGAACGGGACAGTTATGTGATTGGGAGGGAAGAGGGGAGGCGACCTGATCGTTTGCTGTGAAGATGGAAACGTGAAAAACTGCTAAATGCTGATGAGTCTAGGGTTTGCGCTGATACGGGATTGTCTGATGTTATGATTGCAGGGAAGATCTGCGGCCCGGAGATGGCTGGCGGTTGGGCAGGCTGTGATACAGCTGAAGGACCATTTTATGCAAAGCAAAACTGATCCGCAGGTAAGGCGATAGAGTAGCACAGAGACATACAGAGAGAGAGAGAGAGAGAGAGAGAGAGAGAGAGAGAGAGCGAGAGAGAGAGAGAGAGAGAGGGAGAGAGAGCAGACAGACAGGCAGACGGAGATAGTGAAACAGACAGACAGACAGACAGACAGACAGACAGACAGACAGACAGACAGACAGACAGACAGACAGACAGACAGACAGACAGACAGACAGACAGACAGACAGACAGACAGACAGACAGACAGACAGACAGACAGACAGACAGACAGACAGACAGACAGACAGACAGACAGACAGACAGACAGACAGACAGACAGACAGAGACGATGACAGACAGACAGACAGACAGACAGACGTTTAGAGCGCTGACATAAACAGACAGAGATTGAGACAGTGATAAAAAGGCAGAAATATCGCAATGTGGATTCTGGGTAAACACCTGGGGTTGGGGGGGGGGGGGGGGGGGGTAAACAGACTCACCTCCTCGTAACAAGCCTATACCCTAGCCCATAATACCCCCAGAATACTGAATTGTGCCAGGCCAGGAACTCTGGGATTTCCTTAGTTTGGGGTGAATTAAAAAATAAAGTACCAACTAAAGTGTGGCGATACACAATTTCAAAGGCTCTCTCTGTTCCAGTCACCGGCTGCCTCAAGATAATTATCTTTATGATCATTTCCTGCCTTCGTGCACAAGCACCAGCGTTTATTCCAGTTTAGTTAATTTTATTAATCACGCAGCTGTCACTTTCGTCGACGCAATTAGTTAGAAGGTAATCGTGAAAGTTCCTGTTATGTGTGCTTCTTCGGGGGGTCACGATGAAATGACTTCATCATGATATTATTCTCTGTTTCAGTTGAAAGGTCTCAGCTCGAATAAGTAGAAACCGGGACCTGTCAAGTTAAAGAACGGAGGAGGAAAACTGGTGTGAAAAATAATAAATCAAGACCAAAATGGCATATCAAAGAAGCCACAGCATGTTGCTCATGGACATTAACTATCTGTGTGTAGTCTTGTTCTTTTTCTTGTTCTTCTTTGTCTTATTCTTCTTGTTTTTCTACTTCTTCTTCTTTTCTTCTTCTTCTTCTTCTTCTTCTTCTTCTTCTTCTTCTTCTTCTTCTTCTTCTTCTTCTTCTTCTTCTTCTTCTTCTGCTGCTGCTGCTGCTGCTGTTGCTCTTTATCCCCCAGAGGCCCTCAACCAACTTATGCTGTCACCATAGCCTTTGCTATTGCATACAGCTCACTCAATATTATCATTTTTTTAACTTTACTCTCTAGCTCACTTCACTATGCGTTGTTTGTCTGCCTTTATTTTTATGCCACAGTGGGTTCCAGTGTATGTATATTATTGTTATATTGTATGTTGTTCTCAGGTTTTTTTCAACATGCGTCACATCGATTATTTATCTTCTATTCACTGGGATTTTCCTAGTCTATTCTTGTTCTATTCTATGCTTGACGGGCAGCAATGGCTACTGTGATTCCGAGTCGATGTAGAAGCTTTTTAATGTCATCAATCAATCTTCTCCTCGGCGGCCTCTTGCTTTCACTTCAGATCTTTTCATGTGTAGCGCCTAAGTTGGTACACACAGCTACATACACTTAGAACACACATACGAGCAAACACACGCACAGACACATGTAGACACAGATACACATACAGACACATACACCCAGTCCCACACGCGCAAACATACACATACACACAAACAAACACACAGACACGCATACATAGATATACACCCACAGACACACAATACAAATATCCTTACACACAGAGACGCACGTATACACAGGCATTCACGCCAACACACATATACACACAGACACATACCAACACACACCCACACACACAAACACAACATAGAGACACACACAGCCACATACACATAGAACACACAGACACGCAAACCGAGGTTTTCAAGAGAGGTGATTACCACGAGTTATCACGTGGAACCCGATGATAGCGACCACATGTTGCCACATTGAACCGAAGAAAAACCTCGTGTTTCCACGTGGAACGATTACTGGGTATAACGCCAGACCCCAGTCTGATCAGTTAGTATGTGTTGAATGTCGGAGTGAGAAGGCGGGAGAGTGATCGAGAGAATGACAACGTGAGACTGATTGCTGTGAGAGGAAGAGCAGACGACTACATCCATTGAAGCCAAGACCAGCCAGGCAATTATGTATGAAGTTGAAGTATACAACCAGATCCATATGTGCGAATTCTGGTCAGTGACTGTGTGAGAAACCAGCACGTTGGAGTCTGGGTAATGTGGTGTGTGCAAGCTGTATATTAGGACACGGACAGGACGTTGATGTAAATGATAAGATGTCAATAAACTGATGTATCATACTGCTAAGTCGGTGTTGGCTTGTCCCAGTTATGTCATTGTAGAATGTGTGCTAACAGCATTCACTAGACACATCATCTCCTAGACAACAGCCAGTACAAGTGGAAACGACACATTGCATCACCTCTTCTATCGGACGGCATGTGCTTGATTCCGACAAGGACAGTGCTTTCTGTATGATTTGGCACACGCCGACGAGGCGACTGCTGAAACTGGCCGAAGCTTTAATAATGAAAAATAAAAGCCCCTCCTTATGTAGCCAGAAGGAATTCATTAAAAATTTAAAGTTACCGTAATGAGCCACATAAATGTCATAAACTTCCGGCAATTATAAGTATGTCTATATGTATCGAGAGAGACCATGTGTATTTCAGTGGAATATACTGTTTTAGTGCTTCACTTTATGTTTATGTAACTTTGCAATAACAGCAACATATGCCCAGTAATAAATTGTGTAATGTATTGTTTGTGTCTGCGTTACATAAATACCTACAATTTGTCTATTTATATATACTCCTACAATGCCCAACTGTCAGTTTCTGAATAGTAGTGCATGGTCGTACATCTAAGAAAAGAAATATTCAGACACGAAACTGTCGACTTCTGACATTTCTACCCAGTTAATTGACTAGGTAGATGTCAAAATCTGTTCCAAACACTGTGTTTGTCAGTGTGTGTGGTTTATTTTTATTTTTTAAAAATACGTTTTGGTTGTCGTTTTCTTCGTCTGCTTGTTCAATGTTCTTGTCTGTCTGCATGCCTGCCTGCCAGTTCACTTATCTATCTATCTAACTATCTATCTATCTATCTATCTATCTATCTATCTATCTATCTATCTATCTATCTATCTATCTATCTATCTATCTATCTTCGATCTATCTATCTATCTATCTATCTATCTATCTATCTATCTAATCTATCTATCTACTATCTATCTATCTATCTATCTATCTATCTATCTATCTATCTATTCTATCTATCTATCTATCTATCTATCTATCTATCTATCTATCTATCTATCTTCTATCTATCTATCTATCTATCTATCTATCTATCTATCTATCTATCTATCTATCTATCTATCTATCTATCTATCTATCTATCTATCTATCTATCTATCTATCTATCTATCTATCTATCTATCTATCTATCTATCTACTCTATCTATCTATCTATCTATCTATCTATCTATCTATCTATCTATCTATCTATCTATCTATCTATCTCTATCTATCTATCTATCTATCTATCTATCTATCTATCTATCTATCTATCTATCTATCTATCTATCTATCTATCTATCTATCTATCTATCTATCTATCTATCTATCTATCTATCTATCTATCTATCTATCTATCTATCTATCTATCTATCTATCTATCTATCTATCTATCTATCTATCTATCTATCTATCTATCTATCTATCTATCTATCTATCTATCTATCTATCTATCTATCTATCTATCTCTATCTATCTATCTCTATCTATCTATCTATCTATCTATCTATCTATCTATCTATCTATCTATCTATCTATCTATCTATCTATCTATCTATCTATCTATCTATCTATCTATCTATCTATCTATCTATCTATCTATCTATCTATCTATCTATCTATCTATCTATCTATCTATCTATCTATCTATCTATCTATCTATCTATCTATCTATCTATCTATCTATCTATCTATCTATCTATCTATCTATCTATCTATCTATCTATCTATCTATCTATCTATCTATCTATCTATCTATCTATCTATCTATCTATCTATCTATCTATCTATCTATCTATCTATCTATCTATCTATCTATCTATCTATCGATCTATCTATCTATCTATCTATCTATCTATCTATCTATCTATCTATCTATCTATCTATCTATCTATCTATCTATCTATCTATCTAATCTATCTATCTATCTATCTATCTCTATCTATCTATCTATCTATCTATCTATCTATCTATCTATCTATCTATCTATCTATCTATCTATCTATCTATCGTCTATCTATCTATCTATCTATCTATCTATCTATCTATCTATCTATCTATCTATCTATCTTCTATCTATCTATCTATCTATCTATCTATCTATCTATCTATCTATCTATCTATCTATCTATCTATCTATCTATCTATCTATCTATCTATCTATCTATCTATCTATCTATCTATCTATCTATCTATCTATCTATCTATCTATCTATCTATCTATCTATCTATCTATCTATCTATCTATCTATCTATCTATCTATCTATCTATCTATCTATCTATCTATCTATCTATCTCTATCTATCTATCTATCTATCTATGCTATCTATCTCAATCTATCCATTCATCCATCCATCCATCCATCCATCGATGAGTGTGTCTGCGTGTGTGTGTCAGTGTGTATGTTAGTGTGTGAGCATGTAAGTATATATGTCTGCTGTGCGTCTGCATGTGTGTTTGTCTGTATGTATATGTCTGTGTGTGTGTCTGTATGTTTGTCTGCGTGAGTGTGTGTGTGTGTGTGTCGGTGTGTTTTAGGCTGCGTGTGTGTGTGTCAGTGTGCACGTCAGTGTGTGAGCATGTAAGTATATATATCTGCTGTTCGTCTGCATTTATGTGTCTGTGTATTTGTCTGTATGTATGTGTCTGTGTGTCTGTATGTTTGTCTACGTAAGTGTGTGTCGGTGTGTTTTAGTCTGCGTGTGTGTGCGCGTATATTTAGGGACCCAGCAAATACCAGGATGGGGCTTCAAAAAAGGAAAAATTGCATTACACTAGGGGACAGAGTTAAGGACTGCAATTCTTAAAAATTCAACGATAACACAAAACAACATTTTAGAAGTATTAGTATGACAGTCACGTCATTATGTTTATAAATAGTTCGATTGTAATAACACCTGGAATCTTGGAAAAGAATATTCTAACACATGAAATGCATAAGTTAGTAAATTTAAAAATGTTCAACATTATTTTGGTATGTAGTTGTTGTTATTGTTGTTGTTATTGTTGTTGTTGTTGTTGTAAAAAAAAAGGCGCTTCATTGGTTGCCCTTTGACCAAATAGAATGTAGCTGTCAGGGATCGAGAGGCGGGTGGCAAAGTCAGAGCAGATGTTTATAAAGGTCATTCACCTTGCGCTGACCGACATGCTTTTTTGTACTTCTCATATTCGCCTCCAACTCTTAAGCTTGATAAGTACTAAGAGTTATGATTGCTGTCACATAGTTCATTGTTGATACACTTAAAGCACATTAACACTGCAATCACGCCATGACGACAGCAAGAACAAACTATCAGAATGGGATCACAATCCGCATGAGAACGTCTGAAATAGACACAACATGCAGAGAAAGCGTGCTGAGGAAGGTCAGGACAGGCATGCTTCGTGCAGAGTGGCAAGCTTCACTGACGAGGACACGGGTGAGGAGTATTGTCAGGATTTTTTTTTATCGGGATACGCCGGTCTGTTGGGAAATGAACAGGCAGACAGACTGGCTGGCTCTGCACAGCTTGGTGAAATACTGATG